GCACAGGCGGATCACTGAGTCCAATCTATGTAGTGAGACCCTGTAGACCCTGTACCTAAATACAAAAAAAAAAAAGAAAGCTCCGATCTTCACACTTGATCTTAGCCAAAAGGCCAAGAAGTGATAGAAAACTCAGATATTATGATAACTTTCCTTTTTTTTTTTTTTTCTTTCTTTTTATTTCCCTTGTCTCTTGGGATTGCTTATTTTTGTTTATGAGGATTATTTTAGCAAATTTGTAAAATTGCCTGTTTCCTCTTAGGCAAGGTAATTTCAGGTGACAAGTCACTTGGAGTCTGGAAAAGAAAAGGAAATGAAGAAAGTTCTTTGGAAGTACATATTTTGCTTCCATGGTCTTTGGGTGCAGGATTGATATAGAGGAAAAGTAAAACTTCCAATCCCCTAGATGTTAGATATGCTGAGTTCAAGTTACCGAAGTCAAAGAATGAATTCTAAGGAACAACGGAGGTTAAGAGTAGGAAAATTTACTGGGGAAAAGGAATGGAACATAGGAAAGCGCCTTAGAGACAGAAGATATCCCAAGTAGGTTGCCACTTCTCTGAGAAAGTTTTATAGCAAAATAGCTGAGTTGGGTACAGTGGAGGTCAAAACTCTAATCAACCAATAAGATTATGTGAGATTATGTGTATCATTAACCTTGGTCAGTCTGCAGTCTTGTCTTTGGTGTTGGTCTTAATAGTCCTGGTTTAGGCTTAGTGGGTGGGAGAGGCTGGCCCACCTCCAGTGAGACAATGGCTTATTCATTAAAGCTAGAAGGGTGGAACCTCTGATCTCAAACCTCCATTTAGGGAGGTATGCAAATCTGGGCATTGCGACCTCGATCATCAGTTGTGCTGTGTTCTCATCTTCTGTATGGGCTTCTTCCAAGCTCTAGCCTTGTCTGAGTGCCTATAATATTTTTACCTAGTTGAGCTATCTATAATAGCATCGGTAGTTTTTAAAGTCATTATAGTGTGTCACTGTCAACATGTTAATGGATCAAAAATAGTTTACAGTTTCATGCAGTATTCTCTATATTAAATGTGTAATATAAATGTTTCCCTTAGCCTTATCACCATTTGCTCTCTACCATATCTAGGAGTACATCATCAAATCCTGGTCTAGCTTTTAGTATACATTTATGTCTCAAGTGATCATTTTGGGAAAGAAGTTACTGTATTTAGGGAAGTATAGAATGATAAAATAATTAAAATATTAAAACTTTGTGGTTATTAAGTTAATAGAGGAATGTTATACTATGGGTAACTTTAGAAAGTTACAGCAAGTTAAATGTTGGTAGAATTTATAGAACCCTGGCCTCTACACTATGCCAGGAAGTGGAGATTCCCTCCAGACAAGAAGAACAAGCTGATAACTAATTCTGGAGGCTGTTAAATAGCTTTAGATGAACCCAGCATAAGAGAAATTTTACACCAGTATCCCTGTCATGTCCTTGACAGCTATGGATACGTCACTGGGAGGAGTCAGGGTCTTAATTATTAACTCTTGCTGCTTTTGTTGCAAGTCTTCTGTTTCTGTAAAGCTTTCTGAAGTTAGCATAGTAGATCCAAAGAAGCCCTCAGTGACAGAGCCTGGAAATTTTCAGTCTGTATAGTCCACCAAAAAATGGCACTGCAGATTTAGTGTATTGTCATGTACCCCATGTCCAGATCAATTCCATTGGCTTGGTTTCATAGTTAGCATGTGTCATTGCTCCTGACACTTGAGATTCTGATCTGTCAAAGACAGAGAGCTGCTTTTATGCAAAGATCCCCAAGCCTACAGAGGAAATAAAGGGGTTGTAACTTTGAGGCTTTTAACCAGCCAGTGGTGGGATGGTGGGATTACTCCCTGTGGCCTTTCCACTTGCCTGAAGTGGGTTTGGCTGTGGATGTGTAGTTTACACACTGTCATGTTGCAACTTTTCTGACTTCTCTGAAGGTGGAAGGTGTGCAGTGCTGCCATTTTGGCCGGTATCTCCTGATACTGACAACAGGTGGAGACTCATGTCCCACTCCTCTCCTTTCCTTTTACTTTTGGTCAGAGATTTATTTTATAATCTTATGTTGAGTACTTTATCACAATCATGCTACTTTCTATTGGATTTGGACAAGTGCCAGGGTGTAGTGGCTGCTACTGTTCTTGTACAGAATATAGCTATCACTTCCTCCATTGGTAACTAATGTTTGATTGGTGTCCTGTTTGTCCCTTGTTGGTAAAATACCTGTCCCCTCTGTAATGTGCCTCTGCTGTGCTCTAGCCACTTGTGTTGAAAACCAGCAAGCATTTCTTCCTTGTGAAGCATTAGTGAGAGCCTCATAGTATCTAGAGTTCTTTTGAGAATCATTCAGGACTACAGGTTGAGTATCCTACAGTGTTCCAGATTTTCAGATTAGGGATGTTCAAACCTGTAAAAAGTGTAACATCATTTAATTTTCCTTTTGTGAAAAAAGTTTGTGAGTTTTCCTAAAGCCTTAATTAGTTGTTATTGTTTTCTATTTACTTCAATTTCATAATTCATATAAAAATAACACATATACAAATAAGTACAGAGTATAAACTGTGCAAGGCATCTGCATAGGGAAATAAAAAGAACATGGACTATCCAATCAGAGAAATATGTTTAAAGTGATACCTTTTGAACATAATATTAATTTAGCTATAATTACAAAGTTCTGGAAAATTATAGTAAAAAACAACGAGAAAATAAAATCCCAAAGCCCCACAATCCTGTCTTATCCTAAAAATCATTATTTGCATTTTGGAATATTTCTTTATAGTCTTTTTTTTCTAATGTAAATAGCTTTAACATGTAATTTTAACCAGTGTATATATTTTTGCATTTAATGCGATTTTAATTTCCCTAATAATTTCAATTGATGAATTCAAAATAGTATCAGTTCACACTTAGTTGGTGTTTAGGTTGAAGAGTGACTAGCGCTGTATGGGACATTGCTCTGTGAGGCAAATGTGTAGTGAGTGGTTCTCAGCCTTGGGCTTTGCGGTACACTCAGTGGAGATACCGAGCTGTGGCATGATGCCAAAGATGCACACAGCTGCCTTTCCATTCATCAGCCGTGTGCTTTGGGCAGGTTGCTTAACTGTCTGTGCCCTGTTTCTTTTGTCTACGGGAGAAGTGTGCTAACATGTACCACATATAGGTGGGTTGTTTTTGGTTTTTTTTTTGTATGTAGGACAGGCTCTACAGGGTGTACAGGGTCTCACTACGTAGATCAGACTCATAGTGATCTGCCTGTGTTCATCCTCCTAAGAGCTGGGATTACAACACATGACACCACACCTAGTCTCAGTCACTGTCTCAGGGGGTGGGCTAGCTCAGCAGCCTGGGGTTTGAACCCTGGCTGCTGCGTCTGCCTAAGCAGGTGCTTTAATCCGTTGAGCTATCTGACTGGCCCTTAGTTTTGATGAATGTTATTGAGTTAGACCTTGTGCTTTAATTTCTTTTTATCCAGCTTTCATATTTACTTTTTAAAAATTAAATTTTATTTTATTTTGAAGAGTAAAAACAAAAGCAAAAACAAATTGCAGAAACAAAGACAGAAACAGGGTAACATACAACAATACATATGTTACAGATTTTCAGAACAAGAATAGCTAATTAATAATGGTTGCTATATTATCTATTTTATCATCAAATCTGTTGCTCAGATTAACAGATATAGTTATGCAAGATTGGACAAATAATTGACCATTAACGCTTGCTTTGAAGAAACCTTAATTTTTTTTCTTGTCTTTAAAAAAAAGTATTTTAAAGAGAGTATAATAATAACTGATAAAGACATTAAAAATGGTACACATGTAGAAGACCAAGATGTGAGCTGTTCAGCCGTGGTTTCTGTATTACACATTGCTGCCTGGTGCAAGTCTATATATAGTATGACTGAGGTGATTGTAATAATAATTTCCATCAGGTTTTTTTTTAATGTATTTGGTTGTTGCAGGATCTCACTACACAGCTCCAACTCATAGCAGTCTCCTGTTTTCAGACTCCCCAGCGCTGGGATTACAGGTGTACACCACTAGGCCCAGACTCTGTGGCCGGCTCAACCCATCCTAGGAGTTCATCAATTTTTTTGAAAATAGAAGTTAATGTTTAGAATTTTCACCTCAGATAGCTGTGTATGCTGATATCTGTGATCTAAGCAACTACACAGAGGATAACAATGTGTAATACAAAAACCATGCTTGAAAATCTGGCAGCTTAGTCTTCTAAGTGTGTACCATTTCTAATGTCTTAACAGTTATTGTTATATTCTCATATTTGCTTAAAGTTATACCTAGATATTAATGAATGATAATGTTAGAAGATAGATGTTGCTTTCTGTGGTGTGTGTGTGTGTGTGTGTGTGTGTGTGTGACATTTCACAGTGGTAATGGTTGGCTTGAGTGTCAGATGAGTGGGTGCCTGAGTAATCTGGGATTTCTCAGTGCTACACAGATTCTTATAGTAGAGAGAGAAATGCAAGAGGAATCAGAATATCAGCATTTTAATTTAGTTCTGCTTTTGTTGTGGTTCACAGTACATGTTACTATATATTTAATGTATTTAGTACGGGGTCGACAAGGTCTCACTGCATAGATTGAAATCATAGTGATCCTCCTGTTTTCAGCCTCCTAAGTGCTGGGATTATAGGCATGCACCACCACACCCTGTCTGCATGCTACTTTAAATTTGTTCTCCTCTGTGGAGATACCTTACGTTTTTCCAGAGATATCATTGTAAATAAGATGTTTTGTGAAAGTTGGTTGAAGATTGCAGAACACTGTACTTAGAAGTAAATTTTTAAAAGAAATGGAGAGAATGTTTACAGAGAGCTTGATACATTCAATGCTAGGCATAGTCTTCCATAAAGGATATAGTTAGCACTGTTCGTTACAAAGGCATCTACTTTTCTCATGTGAAGAGGTTATGTTATGTCGTGGCCTATGGATGTGTTGTTAATATCTGCCTTTTTTTCCCCCTCCCTTCTGTGTTTCAGACTCCTGGGAGAGTTGGCTCTCAAGGTTCTGATTTAGATTCATCTGCAACTCCTATAAACACAGTGGATGTCAATAATGAAAGCTCTTCAGAGGTACGAAAACAATAAATTTAGAAATAAAATTCACTACTATTTAAGGAAAACTAACAGAACTGGTGACTTAAACTTGTCTGTGTAAAAAAGTGCATTTAGGTCTATATTACAAATTAGAAGGCGGCTTCTAAATTGTAATTGTTCACATATACCTGTATTTAGTTGTGAGATAGATAAAAGCATATTTTGTTTTACTTTATTGTATTTATTTTTTGAGTGTATTTTGAGACAGGGTTTTGCTCTGTGGTTCAGTCTGGCCTTAAACTCACTCTATAGCACAGGCTGGCCTCTAGCTATGAACAATCTTTCTGCCTCAGTCTCCCGCATACTGACATTACAGGCTTGCATCATCATGCCAAGCTCGTTTTCCTACTTTCTGACACAGTTATTTTATATATTCTTTGTCCTCAAGAATGCCATATCATTGCTCTTCTTACCTTCCCCAGTTGCCTTTCAAGACTGAGAGAATACGAGCCATCAGATATGTCCTTGTTAGATCACTGAAGCCGTCCTTGTGTCTGTGTTCTCTTCTTGTAGTACAGGGAAGGTAGGCATCTTAGCCTGTCGGATTTCAGCCTGTTCTCTAGTTCTGTGGATTCCATTCTACCTCATTCCTGTCTCTTGCCAGTTTAGTTTTTAGCTTGGTTGTGAATTATTCCCATCAACACACAGATATGTTGTTGTGTGATAGATATGAGTACAGGAAAAAAGTTAAGCAAATGGGAAAAATAACATCTTTCTTTGATCTGAAGTCTCACCTGTAGGTATGATGTATTATTTGCTTTGCTTCCAAACTAATTTTTTTCTTATGTGATTTATAGTCCCTGGTTTCTGTCTTCTTAAATCTTTTGTGTCTTTTTGGTGAATTGAACTTTTTGTCATTGTAGCTAATAGTATTGTAGATACCAGGGATTGAACTCAGGCCCTTTCACTTGCCAGGGAAGCACTTATTCTACTGAGCCATCTCCCTGGCCCCACTATGTATTTTATATACATTTTGTGTCTTTTCACTTTTAGGTTTTTTGTTCATTTTGTGTGGATTTAAAAAAAATAGCATATAACCTTCCCCCCCCCCCCCCCCGCCCTGGAATGGGCTTCTAAATCGTAACTGTTCATAAATCATAATGGGCTTCGTTTTTCACCACTCTCCCTTGTGCTCTGTGCGGCTGCACTCTTCTGCCGCTCTCCTGCCTCTTTAGTTCATTCTTCTCTCCCTTTGCTGGTCCTTTGGTAATTAACCTGTTGGTGGTGGAGTGCACCGCTGAGATTGCTTAGGGTTCTTAGACTACTTTGAAAGCTACACATTGTACTCTTTTATTTTTGTGTTTCTTTACTTTTGGTGTGGGTTTCTTTTTAACAAGGCCACAGTCTGGCCTTGCCCTCATGGTGCCTCTTTTGAGGGCTAGGATTAACAGGTGTGTACCACCGTGCCCTGATTACTCTTGGTGTTTTAATGTTTACAAAACTAAAATATCTTTTAGGACCTTTGAACTAAAACATCCTTAAGCCGAATGAGAAAAATGTGTAGCTGTCACTGTTCTCAGTGGTAAAAATCTCTTAAAAGAAACATCCAGCTTTGGGCAGCTGGTTCTCAAATGGGCTAATCCTGATTTCCTCCTGTCCTCTGCCTCTGGAGCTGGGAACAAGCATGTGCCACCACATCTGTATGTCCTCCACTTATTTTTAGGTTGAAGTCCTAACTCTTTAGCTTGTGTCAGCTAAGAAAGTTCAGTAATTTTTTTTGTGATCTACTTTCTGCCTGCCTGCCTGCCTGCCTGCCTGCCTGCCTGCCTGCCTGCCT